AAAATAGTACACACATTTTACACTGATAAAGTCCAACATAATGTGTGAGTTACACTTGTGAGAACGATTTATTGTACTTCTTTAACGCTTAGATTGCCAGGGATCACTTCAATACCGAAACATTTCCAATCAAACCGAGGGCTCCAACTACAACTGGAATCATTAATGTCTTCTAATGCCACATTTTTGAGATTTTCACTTCAAGATCCTTGTATTTGGATAGTTTTTTGAAGATTTTGAAAGTTGCATTACAGTCTGCGGGAACTGCCACGTCAATAAGAAAGCACATACTGTCTTTGTGGTCTTTGATCACAATGTCTGAGTGATTAGCTTTGATTATTCTGTTTGAGTGTATTGTAAAGTACCTTTATTATTTTTTATATTTTATTATTATTATTATTAACGCCTTTTAAATGGCTGTTTTTTGCTTGTTACAGCGCTACTTACATAAAACCAGGGTTGGATTAAGCTCCCTCATAGATGCCAATTTCACCAGATAGCTTGGACGGACGTAATACGGAGCCATTGAAATTGCGCGGTCCGTAACATTTATTACTTTTAGCTCTGAGCTTGCACAGCATAGAGCTGCCAGTCTTCATAAGTAAGTAAATTGTTTACATTTGAACTATTGTCCTCGTATATGTTGTTGTTATCACAAGTTTTCGGCTGTTGTACTCTCCGGCCTTCTCCAGGTGAATTTCGAACTGAACCATTTATCTAATCAAGTGCGACAGTAGTAGTAGTATCAAAAAGGTCAGCAGCAGGAAGGGTAGAAGACAATTACGTTTAGGGGGTCATAGTTATAGATTCAGGATTGTCCCATGCGAGAATAGCCTACTGGTTTAAAGTGATGATTCTAGAGTGAGATCGTTCGGGTAGTATAAACCCAGTGGAAACAAGGCGAGCAATAATTGAGAAGTACTAAATAAGAACAAACTGGCCTCCTCTGGATGGGTGGGAGTCACTCGGTAGACTGATCTGTTATGTGATAGCATTCACGGTGAGCAGATGAGTGGACACTTCACGTGACATTTAGCAAAACAACGCATCTCCCCCCACTCGCTACCACTATAGTCCAGATTTGGTTCTCTGTGCATTTTGCCTTTCCCCCATAACTAAAATCCCCCTCTGCTGAAACGCCGTGGACGAGATTAGGGAGAACGTGAAGCGGTACATGATGAAGTACCTGAAGGCAATTACGAAAGAGGAATTTGCAGACTGTTTTGAAAGGAAAAGCGATGTGGGTGAGGTTCCCAAAAATACTTTGAAGAGGACTCAGGCGCAGTTTGCCTTCGGTAGGCTCTTTTTCTTCATTTTTTTTTTTTTTTGTTAATATTACTTTGTTGGATTCTTTCTGGAATGACCAGGAATAAGGCGACTTGTCCTAACTCATAGTTTCCACTGTTTCCGTTGAATTAATTTCTTGCTCACAAATAGTACTGATCATAAAGGGTAGCGACAAAACTCCGTACTACATACAGTTTGTGTGAACTGTTCATATTCCCCTAATTTGGTGTACAACATCGTGCATACTGTATTTGACGGAATATAAGACGCGATTTTTTTTTTCAAAAAATGGTTAAAAATTTGTCCCGCGTCTCTGCTGTTCACTTCTCACGAGACTGATTACACAATAATATTGGTTAGAAAAACGACATTATTATTATTATTATTATTATTATTATTATTATTATTATTATTACCGATAGCGTAAAAGGAATTATGATGTCAAATTACTGGCTTCGTTTTCGGCACGATTCGCCCCTATGCCTTACAAGAATCCTGCCATTAACCAATTGGAAACTACAAAAGAAGGGAATGTAACATGTTAAAAGTTGCCTTGTATCTTCTTCATTGACCTAACAAGAACTATATTTACTGAACATTTCAGTCTTAATTCTGCTTGTTGGTCAAACATTGCTGATGGCTTCTTTTTCAACTCAAATAAATAACCCAATGTCATTTTTCTTGCAAAATTATAAACAGTCTTTCTTAATAAGCTATAAAAAGGGATTTTTTTATAAGATACGCACACTTATGTAAGACAGAAAAATATATTATCAATAAGGAAGTCATAAAATTAACTTTATATAGTGTAGAATAGTTCAATTGCTACATTTGACAGCATATGAGATGAATATTGCTGAAAAATCACCCTGTATCTTACATACGAAGTTGAGGCCTTTTGCCAGGCATGACTCTATGATAACGTTATTTACTCAAGCGACATCATCATTATTGGTACTGCAAATGGAATTGACGTAACACAGTAACAGTGATATTCGTCGATATTAGTTGATTTATCTTAACTAAATATACTTATAGAAGAAAGAGACACAACTGAAAAGTAATGTCAGTAATAGTAAAACATAAAAAATAACATTAATGCCACAGAGAAATACGTCCTTCATACGAAATGGGCAAAGATTAATAATGCTTGACAGAGATGGGTATTTTCTACATGTAGTGAGTGGAGTGTGTACAAAAGGCTGATGCAGCACTGATGGTTTGAATAGGCCTCATGAATATGGCTGCAAGTGGTGAGAGATTAAGTGACACCATTGGTAACTATCTGCAAATGTTAGACTATGCTAGGGTGGATGGGAACAGAACAGCAGTAAAACGTTTTTAGCCCGCCACCTACTAAGAAAATGATACGCGTATGTCGACAGCAAAAAGAACAAGTAAAGACATCTAAGAAAAGATAATCATTCATTTCTCAGCCCTACATTTGGCATGAACTTGAAAATGATATAAAAAGTGGGTGGTAGCTTAGAGGAATTCAGGGAAAAGTGGTTCCACTAAAATAATAATTAATGAGGTTAGGAGATTAGCAAAAGAACGTCACATTCAGAGCCGAGCAGAAATTTGTTTAGGAGTTTATGAAACAGCAGGGTTTATAAGTACTGACAAAATCACCCATTGAACAGATGTCAGCTGAAAAATATATGAAAAAAAAATCCTAATATTTTTACTTTATATTTTATGAAAAAAAAAATGGTAGGATTTTTATAAAATTATTATAAATGGATAAAAGGAAAAGCGTTTCGATCTGGGTTAAATATTGAACATGGAGTCCAACTGATATTTGATTTACCATCCAACAATAAATGAAAACCTTTTTCTTGAATATGCTCTGCTGAAGGGGCGTCTAATATTCCCGTGCATCTTTTATGCCGCCAAATAACTCTCGATCACATCTGCATGTGCATACATCAACATATCTTCATATTGAGACTGCTTGATGCTAAAAATAGTTGCGTATTTCTCAACGCCTAATGATAATTTCGAGTTCAAGTTGTATATTCGAATGGTTATTTTCTAAATAACTAAATAAGAAAAAAGTAGGAAAACGTTTATAAATTTGACACGTTTCATTTTAATCTCTCCATCAGAATTTTTTTGTGAATAGGGCAACATGTTCAGGAAAGTTTTGATATTTCTAATTTTATGCTGTCTGTTTTGATATTTCTAATTCTTTGCTGTTTGTTTTCATTGGTCAAGTTGTAGCAGAAAAACACAATTTACACATAGAGATAACAAATTAAAGTCAAATTTATGCAATTATCCGAAAACATATCTTTAACTACACACCAATTTTCATCTGGCTAAGTCACACACACGCCGCTCTCTACTCAAAACAAATTTTAAAACAAACACAAATATTCCAGAGTGCTGGGCATTATCGACGCGACTCTCGCTTGCCACAGAAGTCTACAACTACGTCCGTGCCTTTCCCTTATATAGTCTATAAAAGAATTGGAACCGAGCAGAGAGAGAGAGAGAGAGAGAGAGACTTCCTACACACGCTACCCGAGGGCAAGGCTGACTGCCTGTCCGACCATCAGGCTGTGAAAACGACTTTCTGTGAACACAGAGAACGGATTCCACTATCAACGCGACAAGCCCAAACCAATAGCCAACAAGCAGTAAGCCGGGTTAAGCATACTCCCTTTTCCCCGCTCTCATTTCACACCTCGTACACCGTACATTCGAACGTTACACTATACGACTTAACAGAGACATTTTCCCATTTTGTAAATGAAAATAAATATTTGGTCATTTCTCCAAATCAGTTTCTAATTTGTTTCTTTGCTTCAACCAACTTCTACCTTAGATCAAAATAACACACGACATAGGGTTCGAAATACCGAAACTAATCGTAACATTTCGCCTTAGTTCCCCCAAAATCTGATGAAGCTATTAGAAACGAAACATGTCAAATATATAACCGTTTTATTATTTCTTTCTTATTTTTTGATCTATATCTTTTTTCAATTCATATCAATATATGTGTGTGTGTGTGTGTGGTGTAGTGTTACATTTTTAAGATCTACAATACGTAACATTACACGATGTATAGATTTCAAACTATTGAACATTGTATTCAACTAAATCAACGATGACATGTATTTAATTAAAATTTAAATTCTATTATATATATATATATATATATATATATATATATATATATATATATATATATATATATATATACTACTTCAAACGTTATTGTAGTAGATACTTCGTACTTGGAATAGACGCCTTACTTTTATTTATTAAACAATGTGTCTATTGGTCTGCGCATTCGAGAAAACCTAGATCGATAGACGTAATATAACACTGTTTAATAAATAAAAATGGAGTATCTATTCTAAATACAAAATATTCACTATAATATGTGTGTGTGTTGTTGTTGTTTAAATCTTTATAATTTTTATATATATATATATATATATATATATATATATATATATATATATATATGTGTGTGTGTGTGTATAATCTGCTATGGCGAAGGATGGTCGATATCACGATAGATTTTAGATAAAAACGGCGTGGCCATAGACATAAACACTGCATGGTGATTGGAAGTTTCATACCTGAAGCGATCATCAGTTCATTTGATTATTGCTTAGTGTATGAAACTGACAGTCACCATGCAGTGTTGCTTTCTATATTCACACTGTTTAGAGGCGTACGCACACACACAGATGTATTCAGCTATTATACATAGAGTTGGGGGTGGGGTATCCTTCATCAAAAATAAAAGAAAGGAAAGAACGATAAAAAGTACAAAATATAAGAAATACGAATGAAGAAATGAATTTCTTGTCTGCACGGCATGTGAATAAAAAAAATGTCGGATTTAAAATCCCTCTACTCTAATTTCCTTAGTACAGAATGACGTCATCATCAAAGAAAACGGAACTGATGAACTGAAGTTTATATTCGCATCGTATAAATGCCTGTGAGAAAGGCTTAAACTCGATTCTCCCTATGCTCTGTCTAATCAATAAAGTTGATTATCAATAGCATTCTGTGATGGTTAAGAGAGAAGAATATGTGTCAATGCATTTGGAGGCAAAGCACTCTCTCAGAACAACGTGTACATATAGAAAGAAGAAAAGCTGTTGCCACCTTAGTCACCCATGACAGGCTTCCGTAATCGTCACACTGTAAAGTATTATGTAAAATTAATTAGACGAATTTCTCTGAGAAATTGATTTATTTTTACTATTTTTTTATTGATTGATTTGTTTTTTACGTTTTGTCAACCCATCGTGTGTTATTTAAAGCCGAAACATATTTTGGATTGTTAAAAATTTCTTTTCTTGCGATTAAATATTGCATTAAGAATTTTTGAGAATAACAATGATTTTTATAAATACAATTCCTATTATTTAATCCATATCTAGGGGAAGAGATGGTAACACAACTTTTCCAAGGTTATTTGTACATAAGTGAATGTAACGAACTCAACTTGAATTCGAACGCATCTCTCCGGTTCCTCATTTTGAGTCACTACCCACTGCATCAATCATACATCCTTTTTTTTTTCGGAAAGAACGTATCGTAATTGAAATCGTTACATGTTTCCCGCCAACGGCACAGTTTGGTAGTTCATGTTTATATCTCATTTAAAACGTCAAGATTTCGAATATCGATGGTCTAGGTTGGCCGGCCCACCCCATTTGAATGACTGGCGTAATACAATCTTCCTACTCTTTATTGCACCCACTAAGCTAAATGTTGAGTTGTTGGGAGTGTTCCCGTGTGTGTGTATTCGAATAAAGACAAACACAGTTGTAGGAATAAATACTGGTATATTTGTAAGAAGTAATTAACAACAGAGTGATTAGTAATAAGGAACGCCGGTTAGTAAGTAACAATAGCAAAAGTCTACAGTCCAACGGTATGTAATGGTAACCTGATCTCGACTGCTGTCGCTGGACCTGATCCTCGCACAACACTCTCTCTGGCACTGACATATCGTAGAGGGATGAGTCCATTATCAGTCAGAAGGTGGGGACGCCCCAACACTAAACTAAAGAAATATCGAGACCAAAATCCATAGAAGTAAATCTCTTTTTCTTTTAACATTCCATTTCCACTGACAAAGGCCTTTGAAGTGTGACTGTTTTATTTGTTGATTAAAATATCAGCTGCACTGACATAAACGGAAATATACTATCTGCCTTTTCTTTGTGCACCTGCGAATGCATAAATTTTATGATCGCTACCTGCGTGACAATTTAAAAAAATCATGGGGATGTTATTTCCACAGGGAGGAGGCATTTTTAAAAATTCTCTCTGTACTTTGAGAAACGCTTATTCTCTTCTCGGAGTATTCATTTGTAGAAGGTCGAATGGCTAGGATGAAGGGGAACAAAAGAGTGAAACCAGACTAGGTTGTCAGAAGAATGTAATGTTAGCGTTGACTAAATCTCTCATACGTAAAACTTCAATTGATATCAGCAAGTGCGTGATTTTAGGCGTCCCCCCCCCAAAAAAAAACTTGCATTCTCTTTGTCTCTTTCCTTTCGGTTAGCTTACCTATTATGCAGTTGTTTCGGGTGAGCATGTACTAAGTGCAACTGCATCAACTATTAGTCAGGAAAAGCGAAAGGGCTGATCATGTTAAAAAAAAAAACTCAGGGTATTTGATGGCGAGGAAAAGGGGTGTGTAAATTTAAAAAAAATATCTATCTAGAATAACAGAATCTATATAGTATAAGAAACAACATCGAGTGTGAGACAATCAAATATGCATCAGAAAAACAAAAGATGCTTTTCAGAAAGTGTGTAAGGGATCGACAGTAACTTTAGAAACGAAGAAAAGATTGCTAAACTTCCATGCAATGTCTACTTTGATCTGCGGCAGTGAAATTTCGTCTCAAGAAGAAAAGACTTCAGGTGACAGAGATGTGGTTATATCGACAAATTTTGAGAATACAATGGACAGAGCATACAATGAATTTAGAATTTCTATATAGAATAGGAACTACAAAGAAACTGTAAAAATCATAGAATGAGAAAAAAAATGTCGTTTAGAAAGACAACTGACCGAAAATGTAAACATACTTTGAATGATTATGAAATCAGTGTTTATTAAAATACATTTCATTTGAAAAATTTAATAGAATTTGCCAACACAATTATGTTTGGATGTACTCTAACCATCTAACCATCTAGTCATCGAGCCACCTTAAAAGAAATTCCTACAACATTTTGTAGATTATCTGATAAATCGTTATTTTGCAGTAAGACGACCGACCTTCTCTAGAATAATTTTGAACATAGACTTGTGAATTCACCATGAGTAGGACGTTTGCTTAAAGGAACACGGGTCGCAAAGTGGGTCGCAAATGCGTAGCGTTGAGTCGTACGCATTGCCACACTGAACTACGGTATTCGCTATTATTCTATTATTAATCCATGTCTCTCAGGTGATTAAACCTTTTCTTCACTAATCTTTTGTTCTAGTGTTACAATATTATTAAAGAGAACTACGAGCGTTATAACAATAAGTTAGGGCAAATAATGAGGAAAGAAGGTTTGGTGTATTTAACACTCGCAAGGATCATCTAGGGTAAGAGAAGCAGAGGAAAAGGGAGAGTAACCTATTTGATATGTTTGTTCAAATGTGGGAAGAAGCAAGTACAACAAAAAAAGTGGGGTCATAAAGCTGTAAGTATTGGTAAGAGCAACAACAGGCAAGAAGATGTAGAGAGCCGTGATCGCCTACGTCCTGAAATGAAATGCATATATATAACATAGAAAGAAAGAAAGAAAGAAAGAAAGAAAAAAGAAAGAAAAAAGAAAGAGAGAGAGAGAGAAAGAGAGAGAGAGAGAGAGAGACAGAGAAGTGAGGAGAATCTTGAAGCATATTTAAGGTTACTGAATTAAAACCACAAATTTCATGAACTTAAAAAGGCTGTGGGCCTTTCATCCAAGCTCCAGTTTATTCATTATTATCGTGTTTTCCCACCAGTAGTCCCTAGTGATTTTCATTGAAATCCCTTAAGAGACTTCACACAAAATACTGTAGAACTTTCCCCAGTATTCTAGTTGATTTTGAAGTACTGCCCTCCTGATAGTTTCGACTCTTCCATCATCATCGTCACCATCATTATTAATTTCTACATTTTATTGTTCACTAATTTGCATATTCATTCACGATTTTTCCAAATTAATTAATATATATATATATATATATATATATATATATATATATATATATATATATATATATATATATATAAAGACCTGCTATATTTATGGGCTAAAAGTGGTCAATATCAGAGATAGAGTGTATGTAAATATAACGCAATGATGGCCTGGTGTTGACTTCAATGTTCACTTTTATATATATATAAATATATGAAATATATATATATATATATATATATATATATATATATATATATATATATATATATAAGATTAATCAAAAAATAATATTTTATTTTTATTAAAAAATAAGTATTTGTTATTTTAATCATTAAATTATTTTAAATATAATGAGTATTTTGTATGTTAAATCATAAAACTTTTATTTTTCTCCCAAAATTAATAAAAATCTATTGTACTAAGCTACGCACCCTAGTAAATCTAATATTAATTTGAACCCACTTATCTGTTTGAACTTCCCAAAATTTGGTTTTGATCGGTCAATGTGTGGCTATCTTAGAGGATGTGAGGGACGGGCTAACGGAAATCACAGAATTTTATATATAGAAAATAGATAACGATAACATTAATTTCAACCGATAGTAGTACTTCTAGTTCCTTAGTCAATGATAGCCGAATGTTTCCTTATAAGGAATCGGCTAATATTATCATTACCATTCGAATGAGAAAGCTTCGAAAGCGGGAAAGACAGGTTTATCCATTCCTTGATGGATGCACAATGAAACAGGATTATATTCTGTTGATGAACTCAAAACTACTATTCAAGGTCGAGAATACTGGAGAGAAATTGTCGACTTAAATTCGGCTTAACTAGCAATTATCATTACATCAGTGATGGGATATCTTGTTAAAAGCGCAAGCAAACAATTTATGAAAATATCCTAAATGTAGTAATTAAAAAAAATAGTAAAAAAAAAATACTATCTTTATGATAAAAATGCTATATGGGCGAGCATTACAAATACTAAAACCGTCCTGTGTATGACCATAAACTACATCCATGTCCTGGGTAAGACGATAAACTACATCCATGTCCTGGGTAAGACGATAAACTAGGTCCAACAGCAAGGCCTCTGATCAGAAGGTTTTGAGGAGCGTGGAACCACCTCTTAATTGCTGGTGTTCCCAGGTTCATCCCGACCCGGGGTGGTAGCACCTGTTAGGGTCCCAGCTATGGGCTAATAGTTAACCCCTAAACTCTGGTCAAAACACTATGAAAGTATAAAAATGGGTTTTAATACCGGAAATACTTTGTATAAAAAACTATTACCAGCAATACATTTCTTGAAAAAAAAATTACTAGCGAGGGAAAATTCTTACCATAAATAGATTTTTGAAGGAAAAAGTATTACCAGAAATAGATTTTTGAAAAAAAAACAAAAAAACTAACAACAATGAAAATTTTGTCGGCATTAAATAATCCATTGAGGTTGATATGCTGTAAAACAAAACAAACCAACAAATACTAAAAAACGTATACCTAATTTTCAAAGATTACACAGTAATCTGATAAGGTATAAAACAAAGAGCTACTTTAAATACTAGAAGAGCTTAATTTACGCGAGAAGGATATTCGAATAATTCGTAATCTTTCTGGGAACAAAAAGCCTGCATGTGGATAGAGAAAAAGGTCAGTGAATACACAAATATATAAAGAGATGTAAGACAAAGAGTTGTCGTCTGACTGAATTTATTTAACCTATGCGATGAAAAGATCCTAAGATAACTAGATGACCTCCCAGGATTTATTACTGGTGAACATAATTTTAACAGCTTAGATATTCGGAGGACATGTTAAGAAAAGCGAAATATTTTTTCCAAAAATTAAGCAAAGTACGAAGAGATTGAACTGCTATGTAATACATAATATTCAATATAGCAGTGAATGTTGGATAATCTCATGACTTTCAGAAACTAAGCAAAGTATAAAGAGATAGGAAAATATCCTTTCAGACAAAGCAAAGTATACTGAACTGCTATGTAATATGTAATCTTCTATATAGCAGTGAATGTTGAATAGTTTCACAGATTTGTAAGAACATAAATATCGTTCTACGGACGAATTGCAGAGACAGAACATATGGGCAAGGAGGAAATTTTAAGGAAAATACGAACTACAAGGAAACCGATGCTAACAAAAAAAAAACATCTGAAATATCTGGAACCCATAATGAGGGAAGAGGGCTTGAAGAAATTAACACGCATAGGTCATAATTAAAGAAAAGAGAAGTAGAAGGAAGCAACGAGTAACATGCTTAATGAGTCTGAGTGAACAGATAGCAGAACAAGGACAGAGAGGGAGGGTAAGGGATCAAAAGTTACAAATGGCGGAGGTCGTGAAGAAACCTAAAAGAGATAAGAAGAATAAAAGAAGTGACGTGTAAAGATTTCATAGGCGTCTCAGAAAACCCACGCAAAAGGAGGCTTAGACAGTAGGCTCCAGAAAAAGAAAATTTATCAAAAATAAAATCTGAAATAAGATTTAAAATTTGCTGGTGAAAGAGAAAGAAAACAGATCACGTGGTATAAAACATTTTTATGTAGTCGTTGTTGGCTTGAGTAAAGCCCTCTAGTTTGTGTTGCCGAGCACGGATAAAAACGAGTCTTTGAAATAAGTGGCATTCAGTCAATGCTGAATGCCTGCTATTCGACACAACACGAAGCCAAACGATTCCCTTTACCGAAAGAGATAAACGAAGTAGCTGGAGATCAAAAACTCACCGACAACTGAAACTACATACCAGCTCCTCTAAGTCAATATGCTTTGTATTTACTTTTTCCCTCCTTTAAACTGTGAGTCATGACATTTACTAAAAGGTATGAACTTATATATCAGACACATTCCCATTCCTACAAACATTTCAAATAATAAGACTGTTTCTTAGGTAAAGATATCGCCACAAAATCAACTTGAACAAACCTTTACATCAAAAAAGCACAGTTATTGAAAGTTTATTCAACTATATTAACTGTGACGATGGAAAATTACTAACGCTGTTATAGATTTAATCTTTTTCTCGAGAGCAGTTCACCAATTTCATATTCTGCCATCTTTCACTTCTTCTATACTGTAGTCCTGTAAGAGTCTAAGACAGTGTTTCTCAGCCATTTTAAGCAACAGCACACTTAGGAGTAAATGAAAATATCACGACACACTTAGCAAAATTTTTAAAGGGTATGCATTTAAATGTTATGAAATAAAACCATAGATTAAAAAAAAAATCACAAATATGAACTTACTTTATTTCAATATTTCTATACAACTATTTTTGCAGCTTATTTAGTGCCAGTCCGGTGCCTGGTGTTTTTTCGCAATTTCTTCAATGCTTGGTCGAATGTGCAATCAACAGACTCCCATTTCTTCTTCAGTTGAGCGTAAGCCTAATTCACATAATTAAGAAGCAGAAAATGTTTTGATTAAAAAAGCTTGATACTTATTCATTTATTCAAATACTAACACTGTATCATTACTACTTCCACACACACACACACATTTATATATATATATATATATATATATATATATATATATATATATATATATATATTGCAGCAATGTTATGAATCACTGGCCTAAGACAATAAATGGAAAGCGTCGTAAAAGGGAAATGCGTGGGATGAAATAGAAAGTGATTGATATTTAACGATTGGGGAAATAATCGTGAAGTCTCTTCTTAGATTTTAATATCTCTGCATGATCACTCGGTGGAAATATTTCATCACTTCCTGTAATTTCTCATATACATATATACATATTAACTAAAGTCAACTCCTAACGATCCAATTTAAATTTCGTTCTAATAAGGGATTTAATGATAGTATATATGTCATCAAACAACTCCAGAAAATTGCATATTTCTCCAATAGAAAACTGTATACACTATGTTGGCCAATGAGGAGGAGGGGACTATGCTGATGATGTAGATATTCATAGATGGGATAAAATTGATCTTGAACAAAAAAAATATCAACATCATCTACCTAGTAAAAAATAGGACTCGAAATAAACCTTCCCCCCAAAAAAATAATGATCTGGAATTATAATAAAAGCAATGATGGCACATACTATGAATCCATCTTAAAAATTCAAAATGTGGAATTAGTAAATACCAAACACATCAAATATTGCGGTGTATGTATCAGTTATAACAAATTTAGTATGGACGGTAAATAAATTGGAATATAACGTTAGAGATAATTTCACCAAACACCGCACGATACTACCAAACCAAAAATTAACACGAGTCATGTTCTTAAATAGCCACCTCAGATCGAGACATTCATAAGGATGTCATACATAGCGTTTCAGAAATATCTAAACTGTTGGCTGCACACGCACACAACCCCTTTCTCAAATCAATGATTTAAAATGGCGTCGAGCAAATGAACCCTGTACGTTTTAGAAATTGCCAGCCTTCTTTGAACCGCGTGAACGGATGCTACAGAATCATAAATGTTATGGGGCTCTCCTCTTTTTACATAAGATGGACTCGTCCAAAGAATACTTATACTGACAGAGAGAATACCTGCAGGTTGAGATACGTTGAGACAGGTTGAGAGATACGGAGACAGAGACAGGGTGTTCTCAGAGAGTTATACAAGAGTCCAGAGAGAGAGAGAGAGAGAGAGAGAGAGAGAGAGTGAGAGAGAGAGAGAGAGAGAGAGATGGTTACGACTTTACTTACAGAGACTTGTACATATACTTTCTACTAACCCGCATTCCTGGACTACTAATCTTCACTTCAAGTCTGTATTCTTACGTTTAATACACTTATTTTTCTCTATCTGGCGTTGTTTATTTATTTGTGCAGGATTCCATTCCCGGAATCCATAACAATAGACAAAGAACGGAAACGAATGACAGAAACCACAATGACTTTCGACAGCAGCAACAAGTAAATTGAACAAAAGGTTAAGAAGGAAACTTCCATCAAAACTTGAAAGAGTAGTAGCCATTACTGGACATGTGAAACTTATTTTCCTAAAAAAAAAATGTATTAATGGAAAGATTTTATAAATTTTAACCGACAGTAATACTGGTTGTCCAGTTAATACCATATAAGGAAATGGGTAATATTACCATTACCATTACAATTCTATTTTATTAGATAGAGATCATGGAACTCGTCTACGTGGTCACACGTATGCACACCACCCATATGAGTCTCTTGGATTTCCTTGATTGTATCAATTAGATGAAAGCCAATAATTCTTTTTGATAACTTGGTATTCTCTCTCCACAAAATTCTACAACTGCCTGAACCTCAACTTTAATGGAATATACCAACGTATTACGCAACAAACCGATTTTTCATCGCCAGTGAATAGAGTAAAATGCAGAGGTGAGGAAATGTTTTTTCTGAAAGTCAAATGTGTTCTTTGCCGGGTTCATAGTGGGATGCAAGTATCAACAAATACTTAAATAATTAACATTCAGGAAACATTCTTCTTAGCATTGAAAATTAGTAAGCAATAACCAGTAAACTGAATACACTAACCCAATTTATGTTGGTTGGTACGAAATGACCTAGTGACCTCGAAGTCTTTATAAATATGTTAATATGTTTATGGAGTTTCAATCAAATGAATAAACCATCGTGGATTTGTCATTTACTTTTATTGGACATTAGCCAAGATTGAATAAAAGAAAACCTAAATCGTAGGAAAATTTTTTTCTTTGAAATGCTTTCGCGGGCCTCACACAAACCCGCCGCGGACTGCACTCAAACCCACCGGTGGCTATACTCAAACCCGCCGCGGACTGCACTCAAAACCACCGATGGCCGTAGTCAAACCCGCCGCGGACTGCACTCAAACCCACCGGTGGCTATACTCAAACCCGCCGCAGACCGCACTCAAAACCACCGATGACCGTACTCAAACCGGCCGCGGACTGCACTCAAACCCACCGGTGGCTATACTCAAACCGGCCGCAGACCGCACTCAAACCCGCCGTTGGCCGTACTCAAACCCGCCGCGAGTGCACTTAATCCGGAAGAGGTCTGTAGTTTATGCACAACTGCTTTACTCTAATCCAAAACTGACTTTTTTTTCTGTCAAGGAAGTCGACAAAAATAAACGTTTTCTTCAAGTTCATTGGGAACCCATTTTCTTGGTTCCTTCATTTTTACTAAGGCTTGGAAATAACGTCTACAGGTGACGGATTGCGTAAGCAAAGAGAAAGCACTTCGAGGGCGCATATTACTACCAACGCTATTGTCAGTAAAAACTGAGAATTCAGCCCGTAAGTTCCAGGCTCTATCTTATAAAAGTCTTGTAATAAAAAGGGAGATAATCATGTGTGTTTTTCAGACAAGTATTCAAACGTAACTTATATGTAATAAAGAATTGTAATCTATATGTAATAACGATCTCACAATGTTAATAAAATATAATTATTTGTTCCCACAAGATATTAGTGAAATTCATTGTGATTTTTTAAAGATCTAGCTTATTGCCTTCCTTTTGGATTATTGTAATAATTCCATACAAATCCCCAGAGATTATTGGATCCAAAGTTAACTTTTTATCTATATCGGAAAAGGAAAGACTGCTCGTTTCGGTAATTTCATATGGAACCTACTTTCCGACTTCATGAGTTTTCACTAATCCTTGTAAACAATATAATATAATTAATTAATTACAGAGGCAATAAAGAGCCAAGTAAAACACTTCTAAGATTTCCCTACAATTATGCCAAACATGACTCTAAAATCTATTACATCAGCATTCAATTTATTTAGTGATTATTATACGTTTTGTTGCAATTTCATATTGTGAATTATTATACAAAATACACATCTTTTTTCTTATAATTTACAAGCCCACACATTCATAGATTGTGAGGGAGAAAGAAGACAGCGTAGCGCCAATTATCGAAGGATGCTTATTTGATTACTTTTTAAAAAGATCAACATTCGAAATTATCCATTATCTTGGGCAGATCGCTATCGTTTTAGCCAGCGTTCAATACCATGAAGATGGGCAGAGATTGAAAGCGAAATCTATCTATATTCTGTCAGTATGAGAGATTTTATACAAGTATGCCTGGGAAATTAGCATATAAAATTATGGATTTATATCGAAATGCATTGTCTAGTGCCGGAGATAAATTCATTACTCTTAGCCACTAAGCATATTTAAAGATATGGTCATAGATAGATAGATAGATAGATATATAGGAATATACCGGGATAGATAGATAGATAGATAGATAGAGAGAGAGAGAGAGAGAGAGAGAGAGAGACTTTATGAATTTAAATGCTGTACTAGATGTTTAAAAATTAATCGGCCTGACCAACTTTCCAAAAATGACCAAATAATCAGAATTTTATTGGATTCCTTTCTTCTTGATTTCTGCCCTCGTTTGTAGATAGATAGGAACAGACAATAAAAGGTTTGCATATTCATTCAGAGATCCAAGTAGGGAGTGTGGAAGATGGTGTTGCACCAGTCTTCCAGAAGGGGGACAATCTGTTTGCCTTGAAAACCAGCATTCGGATTTCTTGCTTTAAGACTAAAACAACCTATCCACCCTGCCTCGGTCATAGGCGTACACAACGATCTAGGCATATGTGAATTGTGTTAGATAGATAGATAGATAGATAGATAGATAGATAGATAGATAGGAACAGACAGACAGACAGATAGATAGATAGATAGATAGATAGATAGATAGATAGATAGATAGATATAAAATGACTAAAATAAACATATAGACACATAGATAAATAGATAGATACGAACAGACCGATAGATAGATAGATAGATTGATAGATAGATAGAAATGACTGAAATAGATATATAGACACATAGATAATCAGATAGATACTAACAGACTGATAGATAGATAGATAGATAGATAGATAGATAGATAGATAGATACGAACAGACTGATAGATAGATATAAAATGACTGAAATAAACATATAGACACATAGATAACTAGATAGATACGAACAGACTGATAGATAGATAGATAGATAGATAGATAGATAGATAGATAGATAGATAGATAGATAGATAGATATGAAAAGAGTATGTACAGCCAGATAAGAACTAACAAAGAAAGAAAAAAGAATTTTATTATATCTTAAATGATTTCTTTTCTTTTCAATCTTATTTCAAATTAATCCTTGATAGTTTTCTATTTGTATCAACAAAAACAAGTTTTAATCTGACAATAGAAATTCATGTTAATCAAGCTGACAGTCGCACTGAGTTTCACCTTTTTTCATATGAACTTAAAATTAAAGGTTAAGCGCATCTGTCAAGGCAAACGTGGCTATAAAAGTAGTGAGTGTAGAGCATGTTGACCATAGAACTTACTTCATGTGATTGGGTCTTTTTTTTCCACAATGACGTTCCTCTGTAAAAGACCCAAGAGCCACTCAAGTTAGAAGGTTACAGAGTAAGAGGCTCAGTTTATGTGGATATATGGAGAAGATAACAGTTAACCCTAAACTTGAACATGTGAAGATTGTAGTGATCGGAGAAGCATCCCCTTGTGAGTCGCTTCCACAAAACAGGAAGAAGCTGCACGAGTGAAACTTACATTTCACCAATGGAAAACGAAGGGAATGTAGGTGGTTGGTTACAATCTGCGTAGCTTGGTGTGTCTTAGCCGTGAAAGTTGCAACTAAGGAATTTAATTCGTCTGAACGCTTTCCATGGAAATAGCGATAGGGCAATGCGAGAGGATTGCGATGTTTCGACTGTGCGGAAAGGGGTTGCAGGGTGGGAAATAATTCGTCGCCTACAAGGAAACGGAGACGCTTTTGGACTCAATAGAAACTAGAAAGTGAAGACTGGGCAGCTCCAACACATATAATGGCAGCAGACTCTATTTTCGGTCTGATCTCTGGCTCTTATAAGTAAGTGATATCAAAAGGAGTCGGGTACTTACTAGAGCGGTACAGGAAACCAACCATTTCCCAGTATCTTTAGCGATTTATCGCATGTACGAATTCTACTTGAGGTACTCAAGGCACGGAACCTTCCTGAGAAAACAGCTATTAGAGTTCGCTTGGTGATGATGGAATGTCACTCGTTTGGTTGTCTTCATTCTAAAATTATGCCAATATACCAAACAGATAATTATTCTTACCTACAAATACAAGAAAAAACTTCATAAACAAATTTAAACCAGAACTAAAACACACAACATGTACACATAATGACCAGATACAGTGGTCGAACCACTCGCACGGACGCGCACGCACTCACACGCCGGTGTCTATGGAGCACGAATATGCATACACATATTGGCAAAACAATAGACTACTGACACGCGCGCGTGCAAACCCTACACAACATAGGAAGTGTGTGTGTGTGTGTATGTATGTATGTATATGTGTCTGTATATATGTGTGTATATGTGTGCATGCTAATTCCTTATAATAAGACAGTATGTATGTATGGAGAGGGAATGCGCATATACATACGCATACTAATATATATCTGCACATATTGGCAAAAACAAGACTGTTCACAGGCACACACTCGAACCCTACACAACATAGGAAGTGTGTGCATGTGTGTGTATGTGTGTGTATGTATGTATGTGTGTATATATGTGTATACTAATTCCTTATAATTAGACTGTATGTATGAAAATGGAGAGGGAATATACGTATACATACGCATGCTGACAAAAGCACACACAATACAAATAAATGGAAATAGATCTAAGTACACACAGGTCATTAAAAGATAAGAATACAGATATTTTTCCTCACCCTTTCTTGGACCAATCTTAATTGTTTTATTACCTATCACGCAGAACTTTTTCACTGTCAGTTCAAGGAAGACATTTGTTTCACTAACACACAAAAAAAGAGAATGTTTAACGTCGAAAATGTTTAACATCGAAAAGCATAAGAAAAATTAATTGCTTTTAATAATATGTGGAGATATCCGCTCTTTGCCTGATGAAAGTCGCGATACCGGAAACTCGTGTAGCAAAATTATGGAAAATTAAGCATAATATATTTTTTTTAAAAATCCACATTACAACCAAAAACGTTTACGGTTTATCTCTTTTTTTAATATATACACTTTTTCTCGTTGGAACAACTATAATCTCTTTATATATATATATATATATATATATATATATATATATATATATATATATATATATAATTATTTTTAAAAAAATTTATAACATAAGTATGTTTTTAAGAATAGTAATTGTTGGTTATTGAATTCATTCCGTGTATACCAAGTATATACTTTTATATATATATATATATATATATATATATATATATATATATATATATATATATATGCACTTGGACGATTGCCAGTGTTGCATTTTTTGTTCGTCTTCACCCAATTTTGACGTCTATAATTTAGGTTTTTTCAAAATGAGGGAAAAAAAAAATCCTCATTTTGAAAGACCCCTAACTTCCGAATTACGTATAAATAAATATAAAAGGAAACTAAAAATTGTTTATTTGCATGGAAAACTAGAGTGTTACCAAATTTCAGCTTGACAGTTTTTTAAATCTCAAAGTTACGTAGGACAGAATAATTACTGTGTCGGAAATGATTAATTTATGAAAATTTTAAATTTTAGACAGCTGAAAAATAGCATAAAAACCTTTTGTCATATTATCATCAGACATACAATAATACATGTTAAAAAAATAGGAAAAAATTTTCTTAACTGCCCACATGATCAAATGAGGACATGAAAATAGGCAATTTTGAGGACAATAAAAATCATGCCCATTTCAAACAATTATTCTGACACTCCTGTAACAGTAAGAAATGTAATTACTGTATATACATGACCTCATGTTTTATATATGACGGAAAAACTCGGGGCGTATTATCTAATATATTGTTTAGTGTTTAATTAAAATCTTTCTGCTGGGACATCGTCTTTTTTTGACGTTTTGCCATGTTGGTCATTTTCAAATCATTCTCGGAGAAAAGGTACAGAATATATATCGGAGCTGAATACATTTTTGAAATCTTCATAAATTCAAAGTAATATCAACGGAACTATGAATGTCGGAATTTGGATGAAAAGCTTATCCTACAAATTGCTTAAGATTAAGTAATATTTCAAAGGTTTTGAATTTCAAGATTATTCAAGATACAGACCTAATATTTGAGATTTTGAATATCAACACTATTCAAGATACAGACCTAATATTTGAGATTTTGAATATCAACACTATTCAAGATACAGACCTAATATTTCAGATTTTGAATATCAACACTATTCAAGATACAGACCTAATATTTGAGATTTTGAATATCTAAACTCTTCAAGATACAGACATAATATTCGGGATTTTGAATATCAAGACTATTCAAGATACAGACATAATATTTAAGATTTTGGATATCAAGACTATTCAAGATATAACCCTAATATTTGAGATTTTGAATTTCAAGACTATTCAAGATACAGACTTAATATTTAATATTTTAAATTTCAAGACTATTCAAGATAGAGATAATATTTATAATTTTGAATTTCAAGATTATTCAAGATACAGACCTAATATTTGAGATTTTGAATATCAACACTATTCAAGATACAGACCTAATATTTGAGATTTTGAATATCAACACTATTCAAGATACAGACCTAATATTTGAGATTTTGAATATCTAAACTCTTCAAGATACAGACATAATATTCGGGATTTTGAATATCAAGACTATTCAAGATACAGACATAATATTTAAGATTTTGGATATCAAGACTATTCAAGATATAACCCTAATATTTGAGATTTTGAATTTCAAGACTATTCAAGATACAGACATAATATTCGGGATTTTGAATTTCAAGACTATTCAAGATACAGACTTAATATTTAATATTTTAAATTTCAAGACTATTCAAGATAGAGATAATATTTATAATTTTGAATTTCAAGATTATTCAAGATACAGACCTAATATTTGAGATTTTGAATATCAACACTATTCAAGATACAGACCTAATATTTGAGATTTTGAATATCAACACTATTCAAGATACAGACCTAATATTTGAGATTTTGAATATCTAAACTCTTCAAGATACAGACATAATATTCGGGATTTTGAATATCAAGACTATTCAAGATACAGACATAATATTTAAGATTTTGGATATCAAGACTATTCAAGATACAGACCTAATATTTGAGATTTTGAATTTCAAGACTATTCAAGATACAGACCTAATATTTGAAATTTTGAATATCAAGACTATTCAAGATACATACCTAATATTTGTGATTTTGAATTTCAAGACTATTCAAGGTACAAACCATAATATTTAGGTATAGGAATTCACGGACATTTTTTGAGGAGAATTTGCAGTGGTCACGTGGGAAGCACTGGTTGATTTGATCAAGAATGACACATTTTCTTTTTTCCCGCTGAAAACGGCGCTAAATGCTAAGATTTTTTCATTGGTTCTCACAAGGAAAACAAAAACGAAACCCGTAGTCTGGCATAGGACTAACGAAATAATATTATTTGCTACTCGTTATGGAATTATCGCCTTTCTTAAAGTGAAATGATTAAAATAAAAGACCTTCGCCTACTGATGTGAATTTTTCAATCCAAAAGGCTCTTGTCGCACTGGTTTAAGAAAATCTTTTCACCCTGGTGTAAATTTTTCTTTGATGCAAATAAAATTGCCGAACAAATTGTTCTGCGAATTCAACAAAAAAACAGAAAATAAACCAAAGTTTTCCAGTATAATGGCGACTAACTGCAATACGAATATGTCGCTCCACATTCACATCAATGGCGACCTACGTATCGTTTTGTGAAAATATTTCATCAAATGAAACCATCTCGTCAAAAAGAGCACTTCTCGAAAAGATACTTCACAAAAAGATTCATATGATTTATTTATGAAAAATGAAGACATTCTAAAGCTATCTTACTCTTAATCATTAATCAATTTTATTTAAAAAAATCTAATCCAAAACTTGATTAGTGTTTAATGGTTTATTCAAGATATCAAAAGCAATAACTAAAGGTGGAAAAACAATTACATAGACTCTAATGATACCTTCAGCTTCTGAAATTGAAATATTTTAAAAATTGGTTCCTCTCAATAATACCGTTTCTCACCCGATTGATTGAAGGGACGAGGATATTGAAAATCAGTTGTACATGAAACTTAGAACGATTGAATTTAGCAAACAGTTTTGACAAATCAATTCTCAGAAGTAATTGAGGTTTATTGACGCGTTTTGTTAAAGAAGGGAAAATCTATAGAGAAGTATTTTCTGTAAATCGTTGAAAACGGATACAAAAGGGAGAATCGTTTTTAAAGTCTTAAAATGGTACCGTCAAGATAAAAAAAAATACCCTTCAGCAATACGATATCGTGAGCAATTGATAATGCATCTTCTTTTGACAGATCACCAAGCAAATCTGGTACGATATCGGAAAAAGAAAATGGTTGATCTTTTCGCAATTCACTGTGTAATTTATCGGTAACACTTTGTTGTTATAAAGCTTAGAAAACAGCTGTCTTCAAGTCTGACTTTAGTCATATTTTATATGAAGAAAAGCAAAACTTGGGTCTTAAATATTAGGCTGTTTCCTCACTTACATTGTTTGATTGTTAAACGGCATATCAACTCCTTATGGATCATTTAATGCCGAAATTTAATTTTCTTGGGAGCTTGGGTGATTTTTACATTTACAAAAATCTATGACTGGTCATTTTTTATTAAAAAATGTATTGATAATTATTTTTTTACTATGAAAATGTATTACTGGTATTTTTTTTTACTATGAAAATGTATTACTGGTATTTTTTTTACTATGAAAATGTATTACTGGTATTTTTTTTTACTATGAAAATGTATTACTGGTATTTTTTTTACTATGAAAATGTATTACTGGTATTTTTTTTACTATGAAAATGTATTTTTATATTTCCATAGAGTTTTAATCCGAGTGTTGGTGGGGTTCACTTTTTCCCCTAGCTGGGACCCTTACAAGTGCTGACACCCAAACGCTGGGTGAACCTGAAAACAACAGCAATTAAGAGATGGTTCGAGTAGAAGGATATTTCGTCTAGTTCTTATTTTTAGTACTGCTCTGTTATTGCTCTCCCTGTTTCCACTGAGTCCAAGTACACACCTCCCGGCCAAGGAATTGAACTCGCGATTACTATAACGCCAAATTTACGAACGAGACAATAGCCTAGTGGATTAAAGTGTTGGTTAAATCAAATCCATTTTGTATAAAATAGAAGAAATGCCATGTAACATCAGTCGATATTTTGTCCCTTTCGCCTTTCGCTAACCATTGATCCTAAACTGTGATTGAACAGACACTCATATGAATGGAATAAATTCAGTGCAAGGGTCTTTTGCTAAATATGTGCCGACTTAGGATTTTAAAATCATTCTGCGTGCTAACAACATAAGTATTTTTATACAACTCAATTTATTTTTATTAATGTGGTTTATATATTATTGTATATATTGCTATGTAAAATATATTGTAAAGCAGAACCTTGGACCTTTACAAACGAAACCGTGGTAGAATTTAATTTAAGCGCAGTATTAGATTGGCAGCTAGATGTAATTTGTATTTGCTAAATGTAACCGTAAGTTCTATGCTAATAGTTTTCTCTACCGCACTTCTCGCCTGTGGAACTCTCTTCCGGATTCTTGCTTCCCACTCAACATTGATCTTTAAAAATTTAAATGCAGTGTCAATCGTCTTCTTTTATTGTTCTCTCTCCTTTGTTTTTTCTCTCATATTCTTTCATAATCAATAACCCCTTGCGTTTTAGTGCCTTTATCGTCTTACTTGGGGTGAAATGTTTAAAAAAAGAAAAGAGAATTAGCAATTTCCAGAAGATTTTTAAAAATCAAAGCTTGTGCGAAATGTGGTTGTGATGAAGTCTTAAGTATTCATTATTGGGGAATGAAGCTGAGCTATTCATATTGTGTTTCCATCCTTCTATTTGATAAAAAAAAAGGTTTTAGTAAATCAAATTCTGATCAATAATAAAAAATAGTGGGAATTTACGACTTCTGTTGTCAAATTCGGTATAAGAGCGAGAAGCGAAGCCTGACGCGCATGCGCGAAATTATAAATGTAAAAATTTGTAAATTTCGGTTTATATCTGGAATCAAATAATCAATTTACGAATTTCTTTTCTGCATATATTCTCACAAATATATTTTCCAATTAATGACTTTTGATAAACACTGGTCAACACGATTTTTGGTGCTAAGAAACAAAACACATTTTAATGGTGCTAATTCCGAAAATGACCCTAGTTTTTCATGGTGAGTTACCGTTTTTGCTGTACTGAAATTGCTCATTTTTGGAAAAAAGATCAATTTACTATCTTGGTTGATCGCAAAATTTAGTTAATAAAGGTCGTAGAAACCCATCAATTTTCAGGTAGGCCGAGCAATTTATGTCAGCCACCTGAAATAAACTGTTTTTATGAAAAAAAAATTGTTTTTGAGTCTAAAATTTTAAACTAGAAATACCGAATTTTTCCAATTTATCACCAAAATTCGAATTAATGGATAAACTTTATCATTAATACACTTTAGTAGACCTTTCATTTGAAGACCTGAAATTTCAAAAAAAATTGCTCAATTCTTAAAGAAATCCTGTTCTTTTTATTGCTCTTTCTATTGCTTTTTATTGCTCTTTCTACTCAGTCACATTTTCTCGGCTTCCTTTACTTTCAGTACTCCACCTCGTTGCATCATAGTGGCTTTATCACTTTGCTTTGGGTGAAATGATTACAAAAAATGTTTTTCTATGGCCAAATATTACCATATATAGCAGTCATCTGAAGATTTCTTTGAAGCCAGTTTTATGCTTTCATAAACTTGACATTCCATACGAGATTCTATCAATTTATTTGTTTTCAAAACATAAAAAAATTCTCTTCGTTCTTTAATTTTCATTTTGCGCGCGCGTCTCTGGACCTTAATGTAAACTCTAATCAGATTTGGAACCAAACATTGCAAAACGAACAGGCATCATATTATTAAACGAACAGGCATCACATTATTAACGAACAGGCATTCATATTTGAAAACGAACAGGCATCCACATATATGAAAATGCAATGTGGATCCGCAAACACACACGCACATTCATGCAAATATATATATATATATATATATATATATATATATATATAATTATTTTTATAAAAAATTATAACATAAGTATGTTATAAAATCAACAAATAGTTATTTTTTCAACAACACTGTGTGTCTTATCAAGTGATGTTGAAACATCACCACTGATAAGACACAGAGTGTGTTGAAACAAAATGGCTATTTTATATATATATATATATATATATATATGTAGGTATACCTGACCCTACGTCGTTAATTGGTTCCAGATGTCACGACTTAAGACGAAACAACCACGCTATAAAGCGCAAATAAGCAGACCCCATTACACATTACAGTATTCATGATATTCACGTACAGTATTCTGAATAAAATTATTAAAAATAATTAAGTAAAAACCAATTTAAATTTAGGTAAACTCGAGTAAAACTACCTAAGGCGAGTTTTATTTTTTCATATAATTTTTAAGAAAAAACGACGTATCTTCGAAAATGACGTAACTCGAAACGAGTTAAGCCGAACTATTTATAATCAATCCACCCCAAGCAAGCTGATAATGTCACTAAGACACAAGGGATTATTTTACGTGATAGAGAATGAAAAGCCTTTGGAAGGAACCGGCAACCCAATCCTAAACCGGAAACAAGGGATAAACCTCTACGCATGTTCAAAAGACCCGGGAGGATTGTGAACCGGATTATTAACGAAAAAATTAAATGAATAAATAAATAGCAAATAAAATTTCAGGGTTTAGGTGGAGACGTTAGAAGTATAGAGTTGAAGTAGACTTTAGAGGGAACCAGATACGCAGTTCTAAACAGGAAACAATGTATAATCGTTTACTCCTGTTGAAAATACCAGGTAGGAGCCTGGACCGAATGATAGGTGAACCTATCTACTCCTATTAATGAAAAAAATAAATGAATAAATAGTAAATAAAATTTCAGATTTTAGGTGGAGACGTTAGAAGTATAAAGTTGATGCAAACTCTAGAAGGAACCAGAAACCGAATCCTAAACAGGAAACATGGGATAGTCCTTTACTCCTGTTCAGAAGTTATAGGCTTGATCCACTTCATCAAATCTAACCAAACATCAAATTTATTTTAATTTCTTCTTGAGCGGGACGAGTACTTTTCAGCACTCTGTTATAAGTTCTATTTTATTGGATACATTACTATTATAGCTTTGTGCAAAACTGAATATAATTTCGAAGAATAGCTACTAGGATTAAGATGAAAGTAATACACGTCCAACATTAATTATAATTGGCAATGTTTTGTCTAACACTAAATTCAATATAAGTTTTTGCTGTAACTGACATAGTGTTTGCAAATTTAACAAGTTAAATTTTGGAAGATCAAAACATTCAAATAAACAGTCGAAATGACTGAATATTATTTTCTATACTATTCTCCTTTTAAAAATACGATCATTTATGGTTTTTGTCGCCACAAGTATAATCAATATTGATTTTTCTCAGAACAAAATCTATACAAGTTATTACTCGTTACGTTTGTCTGTTTTTTCAAAGCTTCCTCACTCATCGGGCACAATGCCATGTAAGGGCTGCGACGCGCGATTCTTGGACCAATTTTCATCTGCATACGCTCTCTAAAGAATTGATTATTCCCAGGCCATAACCAAAAATTTCTGCTTCCAGTAGCAGACTCAGAACCAGAAGGATGAGAATCGCCGGAATCAACACTCCCA